CATTTTAAAATGAGGTGGGAGATGGAAAATATACCAGTTTTGCAAAACAACAAACAAAAAAAGTGTAAAAGGGTGTATTGATTTATAGGCGTTGTTTTAAGAAGCCAAGTAAGTCTCCATTGGGGACTAGAAAATTAGAATCAAGTTAAAGCTACCTGAAAATGAATTAGTCAAAACTGCAGCTCTCCTTCAGTCGAGTTAACACTGAGAGCCAGAATGTAATTTGGCTTCACCTATTGTGCATGAAACAAAGTACGGCCTTGAAATTTTTCTTTCCCCATGTATCCATTCATCTGACCAGGCTCATTGTTTTTCTTCATTAATTACTGTAGTTGTTGGTTGAAATGTTTATTATTTCAACAATGTTCTTGTTTTTATGTTTTCTTAAGCTTGCCCTTTTACCTGACGTAAGCCGTTTTACTTTTTTTTTAAAAAAGAAAAGCATTGCAGAATAGGAATACTGGAAGTAGAATAAGCGAGTAAATCCAGCTATGTGGCTTGTTAGAGCTTAACGTGATTTGTAAATCTAGCCTGTTTTGCCTGATGTACAAAATGTGTAAGCCAACTACAATTTATCATGCTGTGTTAACCTAGCCTAAGGAGGAAACTGAATGGCTTTAAGAATTTATCTTCCTTGGATCAAAAATTGTTCATCATGGCACTTCTACCCGTGAAATCAAATGCAGGATAACCCTAGGTCACACTGCAATGGTTAACCTGAATATGATTGGGAAAAGCAGAGATACTGATATTGATATAAAACACAGGCAATTTAGAACAATAGTTTTCTCTAAAATGAAGTATGGGTGTGAGAGTTGGACACTAAGAATGGCTGATTGAAGAAGAATTGATGTCTTTGAACTGTGGCGCAGGTGTGAATTATTGCATATACCATGGACAGCCAGAGCAACCGACAGAGAGATGCTGACTCATAAAAAAAATCAGACACATCACTAGAAGCCAAAATCAAAGACTATGTCTGATTTATTTTAGCCATGTCACGCATGCAAATTCATTGGAGAAGTCCATGATGCTAGGAATGGTTCATGGAATAAGAAGAAGGGGCAAGCAAAAAACATGCTGGCTTGCTAACTTCAAAACTGATACAAAGATGCTTGACAGGGTAGCATGGAGAGCACTTGCCTATAAAGTTGCCAAGAGTCGGACACAAATGAATGGTTAAAACAACAGTTAACCTAGCCATTCTGTAAACTTGTACTCCTTAACAGACACATACATGTTGCTCTATACTCATCATATTTTCAATGCAGTTAAGATCCACTGAACTCAATGGCATGCAGTGTTGGAAACCTTGTCAATATTGTCTCATTGGGTGGTGGTGGTGGTGGTGGGGCAAGTATATTACTTGATGCAGAAAACAAAAAGAACTGATCCAAAGATCCAATTTCATAAATATTTCTTAATACATTTCAGGCCCAATAGATTCTTCATGAAAAAGTGCCTCACCATTCAATGCACTACAGCACAACCAATACAAGCTGTGAAAAAGTTAACACTGCCATACATCATTTACCTCTCAGAAACAATTGACAGACTATTATAACCACATGGCATCACTGTAGCACACAAACTAACTGAAGCCCTCCAAAACATTTTAAGTAAACTAAGAGACCAGAAGCCCAAGAAGAAAAAAAAATGAATCATCTACAGCATATAGTGTAAGGACTGTAACAGCCACTGTATCAAGTGGCAGAAAACTAGCAGAGCTCATTCAATAAACATCAATTAACAATGAGAAAGCTATGAAAATGCCTTAATTTCACAACACATCGACAGAGTCAACCATAATTTTACCTGGGAAATTAGACTAAACTAAATCTAAGAACTCTAGAGAATTCCTAGAAGCTTGGCATTCTAACAAATAAACCATCAACAGAGACATAGAGATAAACAACATTTACACACCATTCAAAAATGTATAATCAAGAAAATTGACTAATTGACCAGATTCATTCTATATTTAAAAATTTCAATCTTTGTTATACTTATCACTTTTTCTTAAATTTAAGAGTCAAGAAAATAGCAAAAATTATAAAACTATTCTTCCATTCCAATAGAAAATTGCTTCCATTTCCAAAGATGCTGCAACCTTTTATGCAAATCCAGGTAGTAAATGTAATCATTGATGGTTCTACCACAACTGTAAAGCATCCAGAATCTGCGAACTACTGAATTTAGTGACTCTGTAGTGCAGAGGTGTCAAACTGCCAGCCCAAGGGCCAGATATGTCATGCTGAAACCACCCCCACCCTATTGCCGGCAATGGGAAAAAAGGCGCAGTATGTCATGACACGTCACATGATGTTGCGAGTTTGACATTCCTGCTGTAGTGACACCAAATGGCCCTTTGGATGCTCTGTGGTTTGTCTGAGATGCAATGCAAGTGCCAAAAGAGAAATATAAATGAAGATACATAAAAACATAAGTGTTTTTAAAAAATAATTGAAAGATGTTTAGTAATATGAAAACCATAACTCAATAATAGAACACAGCCTTTTAATATGTAAGTTTCTGGGACCTTCTCAGAACTGCTGGTCATGAGAGCAGGGTAGATGAACAGATTTTTGGCCTGATAGATTCAGCCTTTAATGACTAATAATCCTAATTATTAGTTACCCTGTGATAGATTTGAATATTTATTATTAATAAAGTTTGTCTTCATTGATGTATCTTCCTTTATGATGGATGGTTTTTACATGGTGTCATTTGGAATTTGCTCTGGCATAAGATGAGCTATCAGTGCAAATGCCACTTGTTAAGTTATCCTTGAATGATTAAAACTCCCTGTTTTAGGAACATTAACAGTCACAAGCAGTTATTAGTGTGTTATGGAAGAGGTTACTGTTGTGCAAATTATAGAGTGTTACTGATGCTTTTTAGAGAAAGATTAGTTTAGTTTATGTGTGGGATACAACTTGAGAAGACAGAAGAAAATGTGAAAACATGGCACTGTTTTGACATCGTTAATGAAGGCTAATAGAATAGCCTCTGCAACTTAGTTTGTTATTGTGGCTCCCAGACTACCCACACCTCTCTTTTGCTAAGTTCTTTGCAACTTAGCTGTGAAAATTTGCACTTGGTTAGCACAGAAGAGTTGGGCCGCCTCAGAGGGAAAAAGAAATTATAGCACATATTCTAAAAATAAACATGCAAACTCTGGACTAATTGATGTGTCTTAACACTTTAGATCTAGCCAAAAACAAAAAGCTATTTAAAAAATACTGAATTTTTTTTTAAAAAATCTTTCTTTAAAGCTGCAGAAACATTGTACCTGTTCATAAAAAATCATTTTTCTTCTTCAGTGTTCTCAGCATCTCCAGTAGTCAAGTTGATGCCTTTTCAAAATAAGTATCGAAGGAGAGTTTTATACAAGAGCAAGATAAGTTTAGTTCAAGTATCCTTTCTAATCAGTGGGAAGATGGAAAACAACCATTCAGTTTGTGATATATCCTTAAGTATGTAGGGACAAATGTTAGGGTGTGTCGACACACTATTTTAAATGAATGGGGACATGAAATGCATTTAGTTCTCTGCTTCCTCATTGTTGTGAAAAATAATACACTAAGATGATTCCCTGGCTATCACAGAAATTATAGTTGTAAAAATAAATCGTAACTTTCAAGTATGTGCCTTGAAGGAAAGATTATCTTATCTTCAGTGAAATGGTAGACCCCTTTGCAACAATGTAGTAATAATACATAATATTCTTGCCTTATATTCCTTATTTATAGTGTTGTTACATAATCAAGGTTTGAATTAGAGTATAACTGAAAGAAGACTTGAAAATTTGAGGAGAATTTTTTAACCAAGTTTTTGTTACATATTTTGATAATGAGCTTTTTGTTAATCCCAGGCTACCACGGTTTGCTAATACATAGATAAAAATCTCAGATATATGAGAAAACAGGCTAGAATATTTCATGACATCTGTGAAATTTGAGTTTTCCAGTGGAAAAGATGTAAAGGAATGAGGCCATGGCAAACATCTCAGAAGAAACCATTTCTGATTTTTTGGCCCATAAATGTGAGGGGGAAGAGGTGTACTTTCAGACTAGCACAATTCTGTTAATGTAACCTAATATAACCTTATGTTAATATTACAACCTCTTTACCACTAGACGTTGAGCACAACTCAAAGGTGTCTTTATTTGCTATAGTGAATTAAAGACATTGTTTTCACATTTGTACAACACAGCCTACATTATAGGAGAGAAGAATTGCAGTCCAGTAAAATAAGGTAAAATGTGATCTGGATTAAATACCCTGAAACAGTTTAGGAATTGGATAAATGAAAGACTGTCTTTTTCCACAGATTGCTGCTAATAATTAATCATCATGACCAGAGACATAGTTATGTGATTCGCTAGAAAAGTTAGATTATTGGATACTAAGGGGTTTTTTTTCAGCATTAATTTTGTAATTATTTATCCTTCCTGGGCAAAGTGAGGTTGGCTTTTCTTATTTATTTGTTTGAACTGTTCCATGTATAAGAGGTTCAATAATATGTAAAGTTTGTTCTTCAGTTTTTAACTGTGCTTCCACAGTTACAGGGACTTTCCCTTCTGCTCTCTGATGCAACCCCCACCTCCAAAATCAACACTGATGTGTCCCCAGCAGTCTGGAGAAATTCAGACTGCTGGGGACTCAGGAATTCTGGGAGTTGAAGTCTATGAGTCATAAAAGAGCAAGGTTGCCTACCCCTGGGCTAGGCCTTTCCCTATGTCATAGTGATAAACCCTTCAATCTATATTTTTTAGGGCACCAGGTGGCAAATTCAATAAGGGATTACTGTTTAAAAAATACTAACACTCGTAGTCTTTATTAAACTGCTATTAGAATTCACTTGTTGCATCTTTATATTACATACTAATAAACAAATCTATTGGGACAGCCAACTTTTGCTTTGCTTTTAAAATGACAGGAAAATGTGGCTACTTTACGGCAAGTGCGTTTTAATTATATTTTAATTTTCTTCCTAGGCTCAGACATTGTTCAGTGGTTAACAAAGAATTTGTCGATAGAAGATCCAGGTAAATGCATCATTTTTATTTATCAATCACCTTCCACTTTGTCCCAGCAAATTTTTTAAACTTGTTCTTTATGATTGTTTAGTCATGGCATGGAATATTGTTTCAGAGAGTTTGAAGATTCTGGATTTTGGGTTGACTCCATATTAAGAAGCATAACATTCTTGCCTTCAAATCTTCCAGTTCCCAGAATGTGGTCCATTAGAGCTTGCTCATAATGAAAGCTTGTGTTTTAAAAACGGTTCTTACTCATGAATTATGTCAATTAAATTACCTCTCTCTTTTATATGAGATTCCATACACAAGGACAAAGTTTATGAAAAGATCAAAATACAGAATCCTTTATCTCAGTGGTTTCCCACTTTCCTTTCAGGTTGATAACTGAAGGACCACAGAAAATCTTCTTACTAGCATGTCATCCCATCCCATCCCATCCCATCCCATCCCTAGTGAGGCTGGGTTAGATAAAGATACAATCACTGAATATATATTATATTGATCATTCAAAGTACTTTGGGACTTTTTATGCTGTCATGATTAAAATAGGGACAAGAGAAATATTCAATATAAAAATAGCAGCAACAATGTAGCTAACTTGCAAAATGTAATAATGTTGTAAAATCTAAACTCTTATGTTTGGAAAATAAGTCCCCCAAAGATAAAATTGTCATATGAGATCTAAAGAGTTCCCAATCCATTCATCAAAGATTTCTGCTAATGGAAAGTGTAAAGAAACATTTCAAAAGAGAAAATTCTGTTATATATACTACAGGCCTATAAATTAAAACTAGAATGTTACAAACATTATTTTAGATATGCCTCTATCCGTTCTCCAGAGTCCATTCCTACAGATCATTAGCTAAAAGATGAAAATATTGTTTCTATCTTCTTTTTGCCATTGTTTATTTCCATTCTATTTTTTCTTATTATATTGTCTTATATTGATTCACTCTGTATCTTAATTGTCTCATTTATTTACATCATGCCTTTATTAGTTTTATGAAGACATATCTAATACTTCTTCCTCTTCTTATTTTCCCCACAACCACAATCCTGTGAAGTGAGATGGGCTAAAAGGAAGTGATTGGCCCAAAGTCACCCAGTTGGCTTTCATGCCTAAGGTGGACTAGAATTCATGATCTCCTAGTTTCTAGCCTGGAATCTTAACTACTAGACCAAACTGACTTTTTTTGAATATGATCATACAGAACTTTTCAATTTGAATTTTAGCTCAGTGTTGGAGTAAAAAGAACCGTAGATATTTTACAGACAGAATGTGCTGGGAAGTGGGCATGGTTTTAATGGAATTTTCAACAGCAATTCATATAATCAGTGACTAGAAACTTTTTGAGAATTGTTATTGATAGTAGTTGTGGACACTATTTTTCAGTTCTTCCAGAAGATGATGCAGTAAAAACTCTTGTTTTTATTCTGTGGGTTTCTTAGATCTACAGTGTATATTCTACTCTTTTTTTTAATGTGTACATCAGTGGTTCTCAACCTTTTTAATGCCGTGACCCCCAACCGGTCGTAAGTCGAGGACTACTCAACCGGTCGTAAGTCAGGGACTACTCAACTGGTGCAGCACCGTTTGCAGACTGGGGCTTTTGGCGGACTCAGCAGGGCAGAGACAGCCTGGACAATTCCTATTGGCTTTGGAAAGCCAATAGAATTAGACTCTATTCAAGAGAGTCTATTCTATTGGCTTTCAAAAGCCAATAGAATAAAAGGGAGTAGCACAGCTAAGGAAAAGGGGGGGGGGAAATGGCAGACTGCGTTGTTTGGCGACCCCCGTGAAATGATTGTTTGACCCCAAATGGGGTCCCGTCCCACAGGTTGAGAACCACTGGTGTACATGAAGACACTGAGGAATGTTATCCATAGATCAGGGATTAAATCATAACAATGCACTGAATAACAGAAAATTCTGTATCATTTGAAATGATGCTAAGGAGCCTAAGGTGGAGTCTTTGAACTGGACCCTCAGTGCAGTGAGGGATTGGATGTGGGGAAGAAAATGAAGTTCACCCAGGCATGGAGGAAATTCTCTTGATCAGTAGACAATCTAATAGGGTGGTGAGGAATCCAACCCATTCAAGTTAGGGCAGCAGTATCTCTGAAAGGTCAGGTTTCCAATTTGCACATGACTTCGGATTCTGAACAGTTTGGCAGGGACTCAGATAACAAGAATGCCTGAAAACGCCTTTGCACAGCTTTATCCAGTTTGCCAGCTGTGCACTATTTGAGGGAAAAAAAGATCTGGCTACAATGACTCATACCTTAATCACCTCTTATTTAGGAAGAGCATAGGACATAGGATTGCCCTTGAAAACATTCTGAAACTACACCTCATATAAACTGCAGTAACTAAACTTCTGCAGCCATAATTTCAAGCTTGTGGTTCATTTTTGGCACAAATCAAAGGACTGGTTTTGATCCACATATTCCTAGATAAACCTCCAAGTGGCCTCAATGACCCTCTAAAAGAATTCAAATGACCGGCTGTCTGCAAGGAATATTAATGCTTCCATTCCCCACCATCCAGTCAGAGCTGAAGAAGCTTCTTGGATGAGAAGCGAAATGTCTTCAAAGAAAAACAAGAAAGTCCAGTTGCCTCTTGAAAAAGCATCTTTGGGACAGCCATGACCTGGATGACTGAGAATCTCCATAGGCGCTCCGTAATTTACAATCCTCACTGGAAAACCTATAATTAAACTAGAATGTTTGGAATTAAAAATGGGGCATCTTTGGTAGCAGCACCCTGATTGTTGCAAAGGAGGTGAGATTAACTTACACTGTTTTAAGCATATGATAAAGATAGTTGTTCTATTGGGATTTTGAAGAATGTACATGTGTTGTCACTCTTCAGTTTAATACTGCTCTCAGGTTTTTTCCCCCTCTAATGCAGAAAATGGTTTTCTGAATTTGAAAAATATGCAGTGTACAGAAAGAGAAGGGGAAAAAGCAGACTGAGGAAGGCAAGAAAACACTGAATTTAAACTATACCGCCAACCTGACAGCATCTTGTGATAGAACATAGAATGTAGAACATAGAATAAATGGGTTGGAAGGGACCTTGGAGGTCTTCTAGTCCAACCCCTTACTCAGGCAGGAGACTATACACTCCAGACAACTGATTGTCTAATTTCTTCTTCATATCTCTCTCTTTACTGCATTTTTGAATATAGAGGACTGTGAATCCAAGTTGTAATATTAAACAGTATTACCTTTTCAGGCATTTGGCACGGTAATATTTCTATAATTCCAGCTCCCTCATGGGTACGGAGTCAATACTGCCTTGCTGTTTTTGAGGTTAGAGAACTACTGTAGGTTTAAGCCCTTGTCAATACAGACAACTTTTTGGCCTCTGTAAAATTTGCTCTGGCTATTAAGAGAAAGATTGCAAACTACTTCGTAAAACTTTTCTCTCTCTCTTTCTGTCTTTCTTTCCCTCACATACAAAAAATATAAATGTAGATGTGGACGTGAATGTAGATGTTGATATTGGTGTGAATTCCACACAGTGTCTGGCAGTATCAATTCTGCTGCTTCCTTTGGCTATGGAGATACGTGTTTTCAAATCCTTTGCAGAAACACCTAGCAGTTGAGCAGCCTGGGTGCTTTTAATGTCAGGGGTGATAATACCTCACAGCTTGCTGCTTTTGAGGGCACAGAACTGAGAAATCTCATCTTCACACTGTTAAAATGTTGTTGTATGGTGTGAATGTGTTAGCAGCACATATAGCTCTTGTTATTCATATAGCTTGCGTTTATTACATTTAATTTAAAGCGATGCTGCTCTTTTTTGCATTAGAACTAGAAGGATTAAAATGAGAAGAAGTCTTTTTGTATTATTTTAGGAGAGAAATACTATAGCCCAAGTAAGCAACTCTTGTGTTTTCTTTGTAGGCCTTAATCTCTTATGCTCCATCTTCAGCAGAGGTTCATGGCTATGTCTTACACAGCACCCATTTTATTCTGACAAAAATGGTTAAATTAAAAGATAATTTAAGAATGATGATTAAGTATGTTTTGTTTAAACTGACATGAAACTTCTTTCACTGAGTATTGAGGTGACCCACTCAGCATAATGAAACTTGTCCTTCTGAAGGTTCTTTGTATCCTAAAAGCAACTTACATGTCATTTGCAGAAGTAATTAAGAGAGGAAATGGGCAGACTCAAACAGGTTTGTTGACATGCATAGCAGAGAGCAAGACTAAACTGTTGGCTCTAAAGTCTAAGCTTCATAGCTGAACAATGTTGGGAATATGGGCTTCTCTCCACCTTTCCAAATGTTGATATTTATCCTATTTTTATTTAATAATTGCCACAGTGTATTGCAGATGCAGAAAACCGAACAAATATGAAAATGTAGTTTTGGAGCATTTGTTTTAAAGCTTCTAAGATCGCATGACAAGGGGATCTACATAATAATAGTAGAATATGTCTGTATTGGATGCTAACTATTGTGATATTATTTGTTTACTTGAAACGGCATAGATAGTTTGCACCTGTTAATGCATGCTGTAGTTCCTTTAACTGTGCTTGTATATTCAGCTTTCAATATTTTAGCTGGTAAGGTTGAATTTATCTTGCACATGTGTCCCAATACATCAATGGTACAGGTGAATGAAGACCTAAAAACCTCTATCATTAGGTACCAGAAGCACCATCTGGGACATCGACGTACAGATTGTGGTATTAATCATTTTAAAAATATTCAATTAATCTTATACTTCTAATTATATGCTAATGCTAAATGTTCTTATGTTAGCTTATGACAGAATTGGAGCAAGGACTGAAAAGTTTAGAGCTATGAAACTTTTTCAACAAGATACTATTTTAAAACTTCAATACTCCACTTCTGTGTATCATAGATAACTCCTTTAATTTGAAATTGGAATCTTTTGCGGCAATGCAAATTGATTTATCTCCCCATTACCACTGTTATTAATGCAAACATGATTTCATATACAAAACCTCTCAAATCAATCTTAACCTT